CCGGCCAGTTTGAATTTCAAACATGTGTTTCTCCCTCCCACTCATGTAAGAGTCAGAGAACCTTTAAGAGAGAATTCGGCAAAATGTTTTTATTAAATATCAATTTTACCAGTATTGCATGGTTAAAACGATATTTGTTTTCTTTAGTTTACCCAATTACGAGTCTGAGTTTTGCAGAGATATGCTAACGTTAATTAGTGATTACCGCTACTTAGCTATTGCTGCGTAATACAAACTGGTATTTGTTTGATTAAGGAAAGCCGTGTGAAAAGCGTTATATCAGCAAACCTGATTCGCTTTCTGGTCAAAAGCGAAGCTTAATCCCAATCGAACTCTTTAATATGGTCATCAATTACACATGGGTGGATGAAGCGGGAAGCTCAGGCTGCTGGCGGCTGGCGTATGCAAATGCATAATGCATACACACATTTTCACTTTGTTTTCATTTTGATTTCCCCCACCGCGTTTTTTATTTAGCTCTGGTTTGGCTCTGCAATTTTAACGCGCTTCCGTCAATTAAACTTACGAGGCGTAACTGGCAAACTGGAAAATTGTGTCACACACAAGCCACCCAAACCCACCCACCGGAATGGGGTGGTGGTGCAAAGTCGGATGGTGATGTTGCACATGAATGTTGCATGTTGCATACATTCGCGTATGCGGCGATGATCGACATAGTTAAGTGAAAATTTATTGCAAAAGGAAATGGCTGGCGGACGGGGAGACAACGGCCTGATGTATCGGTTTCCGGGGCTTTGGCTTTCGGTTGGATAATCCTTGGCAGGCCATTCCGCAGTGAAAGGCCGTGAGCACAACAGGTTAAGCAAATTTGGCATCGGCGCTTTCGTTTGCATTGGCGGCCTCGCCTCTGGCCATCTCCAATATTAATCTTTGGGCAGAGTGCAAAATGTTTGCCTGGCCTTGTGGAAAATATTAATGATACACATACCTATTGGTAAACCTGTGTAGATATTTGTTTTAAGTTTACACAGATTTGTATTTAAAAATTTTTATTTGTATTTGTATTTAAAAAGCGAATAAGTACTATTATAAATAACACAGTGTTACAGCAAAAGCTTATCTCTATAAGTTCTTACAGAATGTGTTAGGAAAAAAGCTCCCTTTCACAAGGATTTTGAGAAGAAGGATCTCAAAGTTGGACATATTGTGTTTAAAGCCATTTTTAAACCGAAACTACAGGTGAATGCATTCTTGGTTTGTTAGTAATCGGCAAGCCGAAGTTTTAATACAAATGCAGATTTCACGAATTAAAATTTGACTGCAATAGCAACCTGAATTAATAAACAACAAAATATTTCATACTTCAACAAATAAAATTTTTAAATTTTTCACCATATTGTTCCTATGGGAGTTATAAGATATGGACGTCCGATCGATTTCAAACTTGATCTGCGTAAACATGTTTTAGGACGACTGTGAAAGTTTTAAATCGCTAGCTTTTAAACTGAGCTCGCAAATGGTATAGAAACAGACGGACATGGCTATATCGACTCCCCTATTGATCCTAATCAAGAATATACATACTTTATGGGGTCGGAAACGCCTTCTTCACTGCGTTGCAAACATCTGGCTGAAATTATAATACCCTCTGCAAGGGTATAAAAACAGTGGCTTACAGCAAAAGCTTATCTCGATAAGTTCTTACAGAGCGCAATTGAACCGTAATTTTCAAATCCCCTTCACAAGGATTCTGAGAAGAAAGATCTCAAAAATGGACAAGTTGTGTTTATAGCCATTTTTAAACAGAAACTACAGGCGAATGGATTCTTGGTTTGTTAGTAAATCAAAACATATGACCGGTGCAACTCTTTATCTTTCTTACCACAAACCATGCGCGGATCCACGGAGGGATATGGAAGATAAATCCCCCTTCACCCAGGTAAAAAATAAAATGAAATTGGGTATTCAAAAAGTATGCAACAAAGTGACGTCATAAAATCCACCCACCAAGCCAAACTCGCAAACAGTATAGAAACAGACGGACATGGCTATATCGACTCCCCTATTGATCCTATTCACTGCGTTACAAACTTCTAACCTAAATTATAATATCCTCTGCAAGGGTATACAGTTGTAGGTACTTATTAAAGGATGTATTTGATATTTCGCTACAATAATAACTATTTCTTTAAATTATACTAAGAAACAAGAAAAGAAGATAGCATTTTGGTACAAATTTGTTTTGGACTTGGCTGTCCTTCACTGCGTTGCAAACATCTGACTAAAACTATAATACCTTCTGGATGGGTATAAAAATGCCATTTGGACATTTCTAATATTTTTCCTACTCTGTATTTTTCCTTTGGTTATTAATAGAAATCTCTTTTCAGCTGATGTTGCCACCATCCACGCGAATGTGGTGCTAATGACCCGGTGGCAGCCAACCACCGCATCGAATCGAGCCACTTTGTATGCAATTAATTTTGACACTTTTTTTGCAATTGCGCGATCATGCTGGAAAAGTGGCCTGAACCGGTCAAATGGCTCGATCAAATTTCTCGCTTTTACGATTATATCATCAAAATGTGTCTGTTAATTGCCCAACTTCTGGCGATGGAACCCCGCGAGGAGGAAACTTTCCTCGCCGACTACAATTGCAGACCAATAAGTGGCCATGGAAGTATCAAAGTTATATCATGTCAGGCGGAACAGCGCAGAAAAAGCGGCCAGAAAGCCAAACTAGTTGGTAGTTAGTTGGATGAGACCGTCTCCATCGAGGCGAAGACAATGACCAAGTGTCGTGCCGGTCTGGATTTGTCATTGTTATGCAATCGCGGCGTGTCGGTGAAACCAGTTGATTAGCTGGTAGAAATGGCCGAAATGGAGCGCTTCCTGCATTACATTCATGGCTATAGCTCCAGTACCTCCGATGCGGGCCCAGCGGCCAGAATGGCCAATCAAATGGATTGTCATCGCGCCGCACATTTAAATTGCAATCAAATGCAGGTCGGCGCGGGTGCAGGTACATAGCGAAAAAGTTCGTAACATTTACATTTAAAATGTTTAAAAAAGTCTTATTCTAGTTAGAATAAAAGCAGTTTACATAAATTGTGGCGGATCAAGGATTTTGTTGTGAGGCAAACTTTTTGAATATTAATATTCTTTTTATTTTTCACACGAGTGGGGGGGGATTCACCACCACCCATGGATAAGCACATGGTGGGTACAAGATCCTTTTGGTGTAAGTCGATTGACAGACCTCTTTTTCAAAACAATTAGCACTTTCAAAAAAAAATTGTTTTCCTAATTTGGTAAAAAAAGAAAATATTTTTGTTGGTTTATTTTAAAGGTAAGAGACTAAGCTTTCGGTCGTTACTTAACACGTGATGTATAAGAAAAGGTGTACCAACCTACAGAACTCTTTTAAAAGTGAAGGGTTTACCGTTGTTAAAATAAATTATAATTAATTACAATAAAACTTACCATTATTCGTCTGCATAAATATATACTAAGTAGTAGCACTACTTAACTTTTAAAATGAAATGATTCTGAGTTGGTTACTGAAATCTTTTAGGTATTTTTTCTCTTTGTGGGAGTGCGGTTGACACGACGACATATTTCAGCGCACAACTCAATTTGCGACAAACGAATGCGAGTCCAAATGCCCAACCAGGAAGCTGGCCAAATCCTTGCCACTGCCACTGCAACTGAAACTGCAACTGCAACCTGCTCCCGGCGCCATCACCCCCTCCCCCTTGTCCAGCCCCCATCTTCCGACCGCTGGAGGCGGGCAGACCGACATAATCGCTGCGTTTAACTCAGGCACAGGCTTCAATTACACGTGGCCCCATCTCACTTGCTCTCGCACTCTCGCTCGGAAAAGTATCTTCATGTTCGGCGGCTTTTCCTCAGCACGGTGGACTGGATAAGTGCGAGCGAGAGGGGGACATACGGTACGAGAGCTTGTGGCTTTGGGCCCCAGTTTCTGGATTGTTGCTGTCGTCTGACTTTGTTGGTTGCTTGGCTTTGGTTTTGGCTTTGGATCGGTTTATTTGCGGCGCGTGTTTTCACTATCGTGTCAGGATAACTAGATACCCTACGAAATTAGCTGACCTTTGTAAAAATATAATATTATAATTTTAGCTCAAGAAATAATTCAGGTGGTATAATCAAAAAGAAACGAAAATTAATTACCAAGAATTACATATTTAATATTAATAATAAATGTACTAAATATTAAAAGTAGACTATCACATCTAATTTAAAGATGATGCATATATTGCGATGATATAATAGTTTTAGAGAACCATTAAATCGGGTAATTTGGTATACAAAAATTACAACATATCTGGCGCCCACACCTTTAAAGACTTCAGAAAAGTAAAAATGCATTTTATTGTGTTTATGTAGAAATGTAGAATACATTTTCCAAATCGGACAATTCGTTAAAAAGTTATGCGCGATCAAAGTTTCCCTCGCACTCCCTTTAGCTGAGTAACGGGTATTTGATAGTCGGGGCACCCGACTATATCGTTTTCTCTTGTTTTTATTCGAATAAGGAATATATCATGGAATTCTAATACTCTTTAATATAGCGGTTTAATGAACTTAAATATTTTGTTGAATTTATTTCTAAGTTTGGCTAGAGTTTTTAAGGCATTTACCAATTAGTCCCTATGGCTAAAGAAAATATATAGGTGGTGCAATCCTTTCTTATTGTATCGACATGACTTACTGCAGCGCTTTGGGCCTGTCGACCAGATCCGAATGGTTAACATGGCCACAAGTTCGAGTCCGAGCCCGAACCCGAGTTTTGGCCAAGACACCGCCGACTGGCCACTTCCGCTGCCCCTCCGCCGGCCTTTGAAGCCAACTTGATTATGTTTTTGTTTTTACTTCGTTTCCAACTCAGCAACTTCGTGTCACCGTCACCGCATTGTTGCTGCAAGTGCTGCCAACGCTGCCGTCTGTGGCACGTTTCACTGTAGCTCATAATTTTTTCTTCGCTTTTTGCCTCATATTTAAGCGGATGCAGGCAACGGGTCCCAGAGCAATTCCATTTCTACGCCCGTCGACGATGGTTTACCGAAATCCGCACCTTTAATCCAATTAAACAGCGTCGAACAAATAGCTAAAAAACAAAACAAAAAGTATCGCGAATAACAATGCATTTGCCCCAAGGAGTAAGTGTTAATTACATTTTCGAAAAGAGCAAACAATGAAGAGCCGCGCAACAAACGAGCGTAAACATTCAAAAAGTTCAGCATACATATTTGTGTTGGCGGGGAAAAAAAGCTATAAAAATAAATATTTAAATTTAAATCCAGCTTAGAAAGTCCCCACATCATTCCGCGTTAAGTGCACGAAAAATATGCAAATAAAAAGCTTTCATTTCGCAACGAATTCATTGACTCCAATCGCACGGGAAATGAATAAAACAAAGCGAAAATAAAATGAAAATAACCACAAAAACTTAATTTGTTTTTTATGACCGACAAATGTCGAAACATGAAAAGAACTCTCAAGTTGGCCATAAACGGTTAATTGAACGAAAATGTGCAACAAAGGAAAGTCACATTTGTAAAATAGTAAAGGGACCAACAAAGTGAAAGGAAGTTGTTTTGTGATTGTGACAAGGCCGGAAAATTACGAAAATATTATTTTCAACCACATAAACTGTTTCAAATTGGGCCCAAACAAATTGTACAAATGCAACCAAACGAAATTAAAATTAAACAAAGCAATAAAAAGTATATCATAATCACTGGGATAAATATTAAAGCAATTGAAATCGTTTTTTTTTGTTATTTTAAAATCTTTAAAGTCACAGTTTTTTAACTAAGCCTATTGACTATTTCTAGCTCAAGCAATCAGTGAGAATGAAAGCCCATTTAAGTTTCCTGCGGTGCATTATCTGATTTTGGGCTAATTTACAAAAATGCTTTTGTATTTCCGTCTCAACCAATTTGGAGTTGACCGGGCCCAAATGGTTCTTCCTGTGCGGCTGACAGCTTCTGTCACGCCCACATCAGAAACAATCTGGAGATGAAGGCGGGCCCATCATCGTTAGATGTGCCTGCCAATAATAATAAGCATAGGGAGATGGGCTCCTTGGATGCGTATTATTATGCTAATTGTATTGTTCGGCTGTTTATGAGCTGTTTGGGCAAAAAAAGGGGGCGATAACCTCTTTACGTTGGCGACCCAATCGTAATCTCTATACTTGTTTTTTCTGTTGCAGGCATTAAGCTTTCTGTTCATCACTTGCATGATGTTCGCACTGGCAGGCGGCCATCCATCAAGCGACAAGCTGAAGTAAGTCCCTGCCCCATGGCCACGCCCCTTTAACGACCACACAGAGAAATAGTAAGATTAGGAAAAATAGAATATAAATATATATTTTTAAGAAGAATTGATCCTTGTTTTGGTTTTCATCCGAACCAAATATTAAATTAAAATTAATATTTTTTCAAGCCTTTAATTTTACTCTTATGCTGAATTTGTTTCAAATTTCTCCCTGTGCTGTTGATAGAGTCCCTGCCTTGTTTTATATTTCTTGCTGTGTAACAATGTTCATGGACCATTCGACCATTTACAGGATCCGAATACACGTGCCAGTGAAGCACCACACACATGTGCACACGAAGACGGTCATTAAGAAGGTCCCGCTGCCCATTCCGGTGCCGGTCAAGGAGCACCACCACGAGCCGAAGAAGCACCACAGCAGCCGCAGTCACCACCACCACCACCACCATGAGGACGACCAGGACGACGATTTCGAGGGCTACGAGTACCCCATCAAGGCCAAGCGGCGCACGCGGCATCCCTTTGTCTGAGCCCAAGCACAGGCCACCCACCCAACCACACAACCACCCACTCAGCGGGGGAAAATGAAATCAAATGAAATACAATTTACGCAGATTAAGACGAAAATAAACCAAAATACGAGGCAGCTTGAGTACGATACGTAAAGGAGGACCAAGAAAAAAGAACGCAGCATCGGCAAACACAATCCTGGGTCTGATTTGTCGCTGTTTTTAGTGTGTAAGGGAAATACGTAAAATAAAATAAAGAACCCCTAGACCTAAGAGAAACATTCCAGTGCAATAAAATAAACAAATATTACACTTAAGCACAATTTAAAGCCGGCGTCGAAAAGTTTTTTCTTAGCTTTTGGGTTTATTTTCATTCGTATTTCAGTCACGGCAAACTTTCGGCAGATAAACATGTGTTTGTTGTGGGGGTTTGTATTGGAATCTGGGTGGGTAGGGGGATAGAACATATATGTTGTTCGTTCACCACATTAAATAAGAAATCACAAAACACCATTCTTTTTCTAAAAATGTATCAAGGAAATCCAATTTTGGATAGCTAGCAATTATTTTGAAGAGCTCAGCATTTTAATTATTTTCATCTAATTTATGAAAGCGATAAATAAAAAATATATTCATTGGAAAAAGGATAATCCGTTTTTTGTCTAGAAACTTGTTTGGTTTTTTGATATAGTACATTTTAAAGTATACTTTACCATCGCCTGAATGCCAATAAAATATTTATTTACCACCTTTCTGCTGTCATATTATAGTGCTGAAATAAGAACTTTTGTGGCAAAAAAATCAGGAAAATTCCCATTTCTGGCGACTCAGCGAGGAGATTTAAACTGATTGAATTGAACATTTCCAGCTGTTGCTGCCTCTGCTGCTTGCGATGTTGCTACTGGTGATGCTGCTGCTGCCGTTGATGTTGCCGCTGTCGCCGTGGCTCTGTGGACGCCTCACCACCTGCACCTTCTGTGGGATATTTGTGCATAAATAAATGAAGCGAACGACATGCGAAACAGCAAAGTAAACCCAGTGCCGGGCTGTTTGTAATGATGTTGTGGCTCCGTTGAATCCGTCCCGTGCCCGGAGGATTGTGGGGCCCAGGAGCGGAGCGAGGGACCGAACTAACGCCATGAAATATGCATGCTCAGCTGCGGCCCGCTCGCGTTTCCCTGTCCCGCTTTAACAGGCCAGGCGAGGCGACGAACCGGAGCGACAGCACGTGCTGGGGCGTCTAGTCAACAGCCAGGCTAAAAAGAATGTCAACAACTGCTCGCCTGTTGCCTGTTGGCCCCAGAATGCACTAAAAAAAATTTATTTGCTCAACAAATTAGATTCTTGAACTTACCTTAATTTTAAAAATATTATTCGCTATGCAACAATATTTGTAAAGTAAATAAGTTTGAATTGTTTTTTGCATATTAACCATTTATTATGTTATTATATTAGTATGTTTTTAGTGGTACACCAAATCTCTCCAAATGTAAAAAATTTAATTGAACGGTTTTTTATTGAAATAAAACCCTAGTCTGAACTAAAATTTGACTTAATTAAATCAGGATTTCATAAGACCAAAAACTATTATTTTATATATAGATTTCATTTTGTAATCTTTAGAGATACTAAGACACTGCACAAAAATATGTGATAAAGTTACATGCTTAGTAAATTATCGATGGGTGGAAAGGACTTTAATAAAAAATGCCGAAGGCAATATTTTTATTTTATAAATATTACAAATTCCCCCTTTGTTTTATTTGTACGAATTTACATAGTCATTTTTCCGACTGTACTGCGTGTTTTCCTTTTGCCCTGGCAAACAGGCCCGGGGCGGCAGCTGTTGATGGCTCATTTTCCACGACTTTAGCGCCACTCAAGTGCCAGCCACTCAAAGCCGAGGCGAAAGCATAAGCAGCAACAAAGCAACAGCAACAGCAGCAACAAAAACCGGCAACAAAAGCAGCCAACGCAAAGGCCACTCGTCATGTAGAGCCACTCAATTTACTCAGCACTCAACGGCTCTGTATGAGATCAGCGGGGAAATCGGACTGGCGGGGGGTCTAATTAATACGACCACCCAACCTCCAGCCACCCACCACCACCCTCTAACCACCTGCTGGCGGGGCACACTTAAGACTGGGTGGTGGGCGAGCGGAAAGGAAAACGAAACTTAATCACCAGCGGGCCAAAAAAGCGGGTCGATAAAGCAGTGTATGTCCGATGCATGATGTTAATAGGCAGAGTGTGAGCCTCTGTAAGCAACTCCGTCAGCCACTGTTAAGCGATCTCTTTTAACATTAACATAGGACTTACCCTTAAACTTTAACGGACGAAAGAAAATCAGATTTTATCTAAAATGGTGTTAAATACGTTTTAGCAATACATACATAGTAATAAGAAGTTGTTGAGCTAATCAGAATATGTAAAAGAATACTAAAATATAACTTCGCCTACTCGTTTGAATCTAACATCAAATACATTGAGTGGACTATAATATGGTAATAATAATAATTTAAATTCATATTAGGGATCAACCCATTTTATAATTTCATTTTTTTAGGATGTACTTATTTATTTACATATTATTTTTCGGTTATAATGATTCTAGAATATACTTCCAGATACATTTTATAAAATACTTAAAAATATAGGAATTGAGCGACAAGAGGAAGAAAATATGTATTTAAAATGCGTGGCGAATCAATGAAATCCAGTTAGCTAGTCGAGGCTTCAACCGTGTTCAGGCGGCAAAAGCCACACTCCTGCCGCTTTGTGGGTGTGAAGCCCATATATTTACTTAGCTCTTCGTGTGGCGGCTGCTCCTCCGCCAGTTGTTGTTGTTTGATTTGGGCGCTTCTATTTGATTAGGCCGCCTAAGCGAGCTACGTGCTTGGGTTAATTTGTGGCCCCAAGTGTTGGCCCAGGGTGCGAAAGTCATTGTTACTGGATGTGTATATACATTTATACATATCCATGTACGAATGTGTGCCTATCTGCGTTGATGTTTGTGTTTGTGGTGACAGCAAATAAATCGCACGCGTGTGCTCGACGCCCAGCCATCCACTCACAAATACACTGCACTCGGAAATAAAACACTCAATTTAAACCTTTGTGATTAGAAAATGCAATTTAATAGTAGCATTATTATTTTTGGTTTTATTTTTTATTTTATTTTTCCTTCTTTTAAATATGATTCCAAATAAAATGTATCCCCAAGCTAAATGAGTTTATATACAAGCAAATATTTATGTACTTGGAAGGAGGTTATAATTTTTTTCCCCAAACTTGGTATAATATTTTTCTGAGTGTAACACACAAACAATACCACGAGAACAAAAATTGTGCATAGCACGCATAACAATGAGAAAACATTTCGAGTTCTAGGGGGGTTGCGCATGGAAATGGGCCTAGACAAACTACTTTTCGGCTACTTAGTGATAAATATGCTGGCTAATCGAATGGGAACTAGAGAGATTTGCGGATTAGTCGGGACACGAAGTCCGTTGGCCAAGTTACAAATCCTCCAACTAATTTCCATTCATCGCCATCGACACGAACTTGTAGAATTAATTTGAGGTCTTTGGATAAAGAACTTGGGCCAAATAAAGTACGTCTGAATTCAGCAAATTACAAGATAAATTTAAGAAAGTGAAATTTACTAAGGTATTCAAATATTTTCTAAAAATTTTATTAGATTAGGGCTAGTACTCAACCCAACAAAAAGTCGTCCAAAACAAAAAACTTCATATGAAATAAAATTTCTTGACGTTTTTTCATATGAAGTTTTTTGTTTTGGACGACTTTTTGTTGGGTTGACTACTAGCCCTTAATAAAGTCGGAACTTTTTGAAAATTTCTAGATTAAAATGTATTAAAATATCAGTTTATAGATCGAATAAAAATAGAAGCCCAAATATGTTTGCGCGCCATAACGCTCAAGGCCATCAATAAAGGGGTCATTCACCCCTTCACCCACCCAGCGCAATGAAAAAGAATCAATTTTATTATGCCTGGATTAGGCTAACACACCCCAGGGTATACATCAGTCTACCCCTCCCATCAACCATAATTTTCTAGTTGGTCAAAAAATAAAGCAGCAGCTTGGCCCAAAAGGACATTTGTCTCGAGTGGAAGGCCATCACTGGAGCCCACATAACCCCTGCTCCTTCGTCATATTTGAAATACAAACATAAAAGTAGAGATTTGCTGACTTCAGAGCATAAAGCAGGGCAAACATAGTCCACATAAACAGATTGTTAAATATAGTTTATGCCGCAGGCTCAGAAAAGGAAATGGGTCCCGACTCTTCATATTTCTTTTACGTTTCTGGAAGGATGTCGAGCTGAATGAGCAGAAGCTCGTCCTGGGGATGGGATGCGATTTTATTGCTGGCAAGGGATGGGGATGGAATCAATGTCGGCTTCGGTTTTATTATTTGCATACTGGTTTTATGGCCCCCATTTAGCGATGGGAACTTTCCGCCGCCCGTTTAATTCCCAATTAATTTGGGATTTGGCCAGTGCTCTCCGACCAGTTAATTAGACGGCCATAAAACGGCCGCTAAATGCCGCCGGGGGGACGGACAGCATCCACCGCGTGCGCCGCAATTTAAGCAATAAATGCGTTCGTCACATGCACAAATTAATTACAAATAGTTGTTTTTCGCTTGGACCAGCTGGCGCAACCGAAATTTAGTTGCATATTTTACGGACTGGAAATGAAAGTTTCAAACACAGCCAGCCGGCCGGGGGGAAAACAAATGCACCATTACAAAAGCCAACAAATTGGAGACTCATTAAAAGCCAAATGGTATTTTTCAGTTTTCGGGAATGCGAAATACCGGGGTCGTACTACCTGCAGGTGCAAACGGAAGGGAACTTTATGCTTCCATAAATAAACAGAAATATTGCCCATTCTCTTTGGGAAATTGGCAGATTTTTAGCAAAAAACATAATTACTTAAAATATTTTAATATAAGAAAAGAAGTTTAAAAAGAGTTTTATGTTATAAAATGGTAAATAAGAAATATTTGTATTAAATTTATTTTTTGAAGGATTAAAATTAAAACATTAAATATCCCTTTCAATTTATAATTAAACAATACTTTTACTATAAATAATTTAAAATATATAAATAATAATTTTATTATAAATAAATAAAATAAATAAATAAAAAAACAATACCTTACCAAATACCTTAGTGTAATTCCTAAGCATCTATTGTAAATGTTTACCTTAAACCAAATTATTTGCTTTGCCATGAACAATTACAATGGAGGGACCACATATTTCCTTAGCCTACTGTCAT